TTTTTTTTCCTTAATTTTTTAAATCAACTCTTCAAGTTCATTCAAAATGAATTTTTCATCGCCATCACTAATAAAGATTATTGTAATATGTTATGGAAACTCTTCAGACAACAATTTGTTTAAAACATATTTGAATGCTTTAGTAATGTCAGCTGACCCAGCTGCCATAAAAGGCTCAAAATCATGGATGTCTTCTGTAAATTGAATATTTAATTATTGGTCTTTGAGGTCATCGAAATTTTTTTTGTGAGCCTTCAAAATTTCCTCATATTCAAAATTCATTGATCTTGTACCATTCAATAATGTTATTGGAAATGATTAAATTTTTGTGGACTAAGGTGCTTTTCCTATTAAATTTTTCATAAAATTATTGATGTAATTGTTAATATTGTATGCGGATATGTACTTATGTAGATATTCTATTAATTTTTATCGAAAAAAAAATAAAAATAATTACCTAATGACTCAATCCTAATAGAAAAATAAAAAAATTACTTCAAAAATAGAAGATAAAACAACACAAGAAATTTAAAAAATTCTTTATTTATTATTTCTTCAACTTAATACCTCATCTACTGTCATTCTATCGATAACTCTATTTTTGAAAAGTTAATGTTTTAGATTCGATAATTTCATTCACTCTAATCAATTTGATTGAACAACCGAATCAGTTAACAAGGATAAATCAAAGTATAAATATATAAATCTTCTCTAAGAAATGGAATAACTTTGTCACGCTGAAAACATTCAAGCAATGCAATCTGAATTCTAAAAAGTCTAGTTAACTTTACAGCTATTTGAAAGTAAAAATAGAAAAATAGATAAATAGGACATATCTAATAAAAAGAATCAATTTTAATTGATAATAGTTTCTATATTTCAGAATAGTATTTAACAATTCTAAAAATTACTTTAGTGAAGGCAAAGCCAAGAGTTTGGAGAGCGATTGCTATTTAAGGAAAATAATAATGTAAACTAAATTTCCAACCGTCATGCAACATATACATAAGATTATGATAAGTTCTTTTTCTTTGCCTGACTTTCTTAAATTAATTGCAATATGGTCTTTTAATTATAGGCTTATATCAGCTGAGAATAATATATAAGAAATGAGACTGAAAGGAAATTAAGTTAATAAATTTATTACTTTTCTTGCTAATTAGGTAATTTTACAATAAGTCCATGGCTATCGCATAGGTTTTTATAGTTGATATCTCTTTCTTAAAAATACATTATAAAAATACATTATAAAAATACAAGTTAAAAAGTATAAGGGAATTGAGGATGTCTCATAATTCACATTGATCTATATCCTTATATTCATAGAAGATATCACACTCAACTCAAAATTATCAAAGAATGTAAAGTTACAATATAGAAATTTCCCTGCTAGAAATGTATATAGTTGAGCCATAAAATTTCACTCATCCGCTAGTGTTACTAAATGCGTATCAAGTAATTTTCTTTGCAACCTTTGAAAATAGTACATCTTAAAATTCACCATTATTATTTTAACAACAGAAGTATTTAATACAAAGGGTTCATTCTTTTTTTTTCAATTCATAGAATTTATTATAAATTAATGAAACAAGTAAAGCGATTTATAAATATTTATTTTGAAAAAAAAGATTATTAGAAATTTGAATCAATTCATAATTAGACTTTTTATTGTTAATTATTAAAGGATTAAGGATTCTTAAGTTGAATTAATAATACTTAAAAAGTATGGAATTATATAAAGGAATTGAAAATTTCAAAAAAATCATTCAACAATTTCTTACCTTAAAGACTAATTTAACTTCTTTCCTTATTCATATATATATAAAAAGGTTGAAAAAGAGAATTATGCTATGAATTACAATCATAAATTAATTTTTTGAGTATCTAAAGAAAGGAGGCAAAAAGTGAATAATTTAATTTCAATAAGTAATAAGATATTGATGTTTCAAGAATTGCAAAATATGCTCATCAGGATTAATACGGTTCAAATTCTATCAACTTTGCATCTTCATAAAATAAGAACTATAAAGTTTAGAATCATAAATTTAACTAACTTTAACCTTTTATGAATTCTTTTTAGTATAGGGATTTAATACTTTAATAACTAGTTGATATCAAAAATATTAAAGATTTTCAACTCAATTTTTAGAAATTTGACTCAAGAGTTTAGATCCTAAGCAAGTGAATTATAAGAAAAAGAGTGTTTGTGTCATATCCTACAACTTGAAGAAAACTCAAAATAGTTAGAAGCAGAAATCTATGGATTTAGAATTTTTCTGGAATTTATAGACTCATACAAGGCAAGCAAAAAATTTATGGAGTTTTGTATATTAAAAGTAATTATAAAGAATGGTAAGAATGCCTTAAATTGAAAGAAATTGAATGGCTCTTTGCTGAAAAGAATTAAATAGAAAACAATTAATATAATAATTAGCGAATATTTAAGTGTTAATTTATTCTTATATTTAATAAAATATATAAATAAATATATGATGAAATAAACATATTTCAAATAATATAATTCAATACATTATATTCCATAATAATTTTATCTTCATTGTTTTAGGATTGCAGATAAATCTGCAGAATATTATTAATCGTACAATCTTAGAGTGAGGAAAAATTTAAATTAAAGAATGTTTATATAAAAACCAATAGTAACTTTCAGATTTTTCAAAACATTTTTATATAGTTTTATCAAACAGAAGAAGGATTGCATAATGTATCCTTAATAATGTTTAATCGAGTTTGCTTGCATCAAATTGATCCAATTGCAACACACTATTTCGAAACAGACAAAATTAATTATGTTAATTGTAGCATAATTACAGCTATAATAAACTCCAAATAAAACTAATCATTTTTCACAATGAACTTATCCAAGTACAACAGCTGTTCTGCTATCATAATTATCTTTATGTTAAATAGTTTCTACTAATAAGAAAAGAATAATTTCTTAAAAGAAATTAGATGGAATTATAAACAAAAAATTGAAAAAAATGAAATAGTAAATTTAATTCTGAAAAACAAGAATTTCACAAGTAATCATTCAAATTTTGTTTCTTAATATTTATTACAAATTCCTAACTTATTTTAAAAAAAAAAATAGCTAGCTATAAGCATTTTTCTAATTTTAAAATTTATCAAAAGATGATTTAAGTGTAATAAATTACAAAGTTTAATTAGATGAATACAATAAAAACAAATGACTAAAGCTAAGAATAAGATATCACACTAAAATAAATTATAAATTTGAATTAAATATTTGATGCGTATCATCATGAATATAGCATTTTAGGAATTTATGAATTAAAAGATTGATTTTTTAAATAAAAATTACTAATTTTGCATTGTAATAATTGATTCCTTAAGTAAGATTACATTGAAGAAATTTAAAGCATGCTCTTTAGAGGGCTAAGATAACATAATTTCGAGCTCAACCAAAATAAATCTTTTGTTATCATGATTATTACAAATAAAAAAGAATTCTTTTATTTACATGAATCTATAGAATAACTCTATTAATAAGATAAGGGATATTGAGAGAGAATAGAATATTCATAAATATTCTAATATTGAAAAAAAATTGAAAATTATTCAATTTTAGAATTAGTGATAGTTTATTAAATGTAGAGCTAATTTTTTCAGAGATTTATTTTTAAGTAAATTAATATTATCAAAAAATGTTAATCAAATTTTTATTCCCATTTAAATAGAGGGTGGTATAGATTTGCTTTGAATATTTGGTAAATTATCAATTTGATAACTGGTTGTTGATTTAATATTTTTTGGGGATTAAGTTGATGTTTCAGATTTTGGCCATGTCATTCTGAAAGAATGTTGAGCTCATTATTCTTGAAATAAATACATTACTTCGTTTAAAAAGTACGAAAACACAATGCTAATTTAGTAATTTTAATCAAAAACGAAAAAAATTTCTTCTATATTCTTTTAAATAAAAAAGTTAAAGATATTATTAAAACAACATAATTTTATTAAGAATTTAGAAGGTATATAAGTAAGATAGAAGACTAAAACTAGAAATTTTCGATACTTTTATATTTGAAAATTCTCAAAACTATTGATTAAAAAAATCACTACTTAAATATATAAATACTAACATTCTTGGTTCTAATTATTTATCAATAGTAAGAGTTATATAATTGTGAAGCAGCTACCACATACAAAACTAATTCTAAGGTTATTTTAGAAGATAGATTATTATATAATTATTATTATCCATATATAATCCTACATTTTTGTTAGTTAAAGAATTATAAAAGTTGAAAAAATCATCTTTAAAATAAAAATATTTTTGAAGTAATCTCTTATTTTCATCCTAAAGTATAACATTATGTTCTTATATTTAAAAAATGTGAATATATATATAAAATAATTATATAAGAAATTTAAGTGATTTAATAGAATTAGAAATAATATTAATATAAAATGAGTGTTATAAGAGTAAAATGCTAAAAGGAATAACATGAGTTTGTAGAATTAGCTTGCTTAAATAAATAATGTAAAGCTAATAGAATTTATTGTCATTAATGTCTTAAAAATGGAGATCATGTCGCTCATCCAAAAGATTAAAAGAATTTAATTGAATTAATAGACTATTTTCATAATCTTGGCAAGGAAAGTGAGAAACTAATATAAAATTTATGTTTAATGGTAGAATAGTTAAAGGATTTAATGTTTTAATTAAATTAAGAATTGAGAACAAAATATCAATTTTCTAAAGAAAGATTGTAATCATTAAATACAAAACAATTGAATTAGGCTTTAGATTAGATAATTCAATATGATGATATTTAAATCATTATAAAAAATCAATTACAAATATGTTCAGATAATATGATCAAATAAATTCAAATACAAATGAATGAATTGAAATTAGATCAAGTAAAAATATATTAATTAAATCAATAAGATCAAAAAAAGGTAAAAGAACTATATTAATAAGGTATTCATATCATTTATTTAGCCAAAAAATTACATTATGATGATAAATATGAAGAGGCAATCAAAATATTAGATGGTGCATTAAAAATTGATCAAAATCATTTGGATTCATTATATTTAAAAGGTATTTAAACTATATGTAAATGAATTAGCTAATTGTTTAGAATATCTGCATCAATACAAAGATGCAATTATATGGGCTGATAAAGCTTTGTTGATTAATTCAAATCATTTGGATTCATTATCTTTAAAAGGTATTAAAAACTATATGTAAATGAATTAGCTGAATGTTTAAGATGGCTACGTAATTACAAAAATGCAATTATATGGGCTGATAAAGCTTTGATAATTAAATCAAATCATTTGGATTCATTAAATACAAAAGGTATTTCAACATTTCTAAAATAGGTGATTCATTACTGCGATTGGGGGAATATGAAGTAGCTCTTAAGATTATTGACTAAGCACTGAATTAATCTCCAAATCATCATTACTGCTTATACTTAAGAGGTTGATTATATTTCTATTTTGTAGGAGAATGCTTAAAATCATTACAAAGATTTGAAGAAGCAATTGTTTATTATGATAAGGCTAATTAGATCAAGCCAAATCAGTAAGTATACAAAAATGGCAAAGGTATACGAAGTATATATATATATCTAGCTGAATGTGAGAAATAAATTGATAATTATAAATGCATCTAGTGATTATTGAATAAAAGATATTAACTAATACCAAAATTGCACTACTCTATTCTATAATAAATATGTATTTATCTATAAATTTAATGAGGTTGAAGTTCAATTTACTTCAAATTTACAAATGATAGCAATTTTGCAATATCATTTTTTTAGTGTCACGGAATTATAGTGTTGATTATTTCAAAATTAATATATTCTCATAACAAACGCAACAAATTTCTATTGTAATAATTTGAAATAATGCAAATATAAAATAAAATATATGAAAATAATAAATATTTAGAAATATCAGACTTATCCATATGTCAAATCATGATCCATATTGATAGAAAATTCCCCTCTAAAACCCACTCTTTATTAATCAACGTAGGCTCTTGAAAGAACCTATCATGTGCTTATTGACAAAGTTTTGAATTACATCATGGCTGGATGAATAAGACCAACAAGATCCTTTCTAGAGAAAATAATAGACAACTCACAAACGAAGGGCTGAATAGCAATTAGGCAAGCAAGGAACGCAAGTAGGAGCTATTCCAAAAAAACTAGAACAGATGCGCTCTCATTAGGACGTACCTTTCGAAAATCTGCTTGTGTAATGTTCAGAAAAGCCTTATTTTATAAATTGATCTGAGGAGATTGATATTCTGGATACATTATGGATCATCAACCATCAGATATTCTTAGTCTATTGGAAATATACTCTGCTTATCAGAACTCTTTTAAAACTTAGCAAAGTATGCAGAAGATAGGAATGCTAGTTTCAACATCTAAAGAAGGTATCCTAGCTGGATGTAGAGTATCCTGGTACTCCTACGCAGACATAAATAATCCAAGAACGAAATGATAATGGGAGTCAAAAGGAATGCACCCTACCAAAATAAGAATAACTGGGGCTGGATATTTGAATAGGGCGATGATAGAAATATTATTTATAAACAATTTTGTAGGTTGATATTTCCAATTCAATTGATGAACGCATAACTTAGCAATAGAGCCTGAATATTACACTCTACCCATATGTAAAAGATGTTTTTAGACCTAGAAGGATACTTTGGGATATTATAACAAGACGTGAACCTTGTCTTAAGTAAGGCTGTCCACAGTCAATGATTAATTGCACATACAAATAATAATATAATAATACTTTCGATATCTATTGAGTTGAATATTCAACTCCTATGTATCACCTATAGTTCTAAAAGTCTTAATCTATATCACTCCTATTTAGGTAAAAAAAATATAAAATATTGTGTTGAGAATTTCATATTGGACATCATCTGTACATTCTATTAAATTGAATCTATTTCCTAGTTTTTGAAATAATGTTCTATAAATTATTAATTTACATTAATGCAAATAAAACTGCTAACTGCAAAGAAACACTTCATTTTGTCTGCTTTGACTGACACTATTTCTCATGTTAAGACAACCTTACTAAGGCTTATATTTAGGAAAACTTAGTCGTTTACCTATCTATTCACAAAGACCATTCGATTTGAAGTTGCCATATAAAATTTGAATAATATTCTTTCTGAAATTAAAATTCAAGCAATTTGATCTAATCGAAATTTAGTGTATTTTGAATTAGGGGTCAAAAAAAACTAATTGGTGTTTTAATTAATTCATAAATTATAACTGATAACTAGTTCTATTTCTAATTTTAAAACTCTCTCTATTTTTATTTATGATCACTTAATGAACATGATTAACTTAGTCAGTATTGAATTTGATTTTAACTGCATGGGATCGATTATAATCTTATATTTAATATCTCATTCGTTAGCGATAATAAATTTAATAACAGAATTTAAAATTAATTTTTTGTTTGTTTGCAAATTGCCTATATGTAATATTCGAATATAACAAATTGACAATAACCTATTAATGGCTTTGAATAGCAATTAGAGAGAGAAGTATTGGTTAGAAAGGATTAATAATGAACTAAAACCAAAACTGCATACTCTTTCTTCTTTTTAACAGGTTAGAATTACTTATATAATTTAAAATAAAAAAAACTTCATTTGGTCATTAACAGGTAAGAATATTTAAAGGGTAATTCAGATAAATATTTTTGTAAGTTAGTGTCTTTGCTTTAAAAATTTTGTGATAATTAATTATGATATCCATAAAAATAAACTTTCTTAACTTTTATCAGTAATTTAAAAAAGATCTTAATTTTAGATGACAAATCAGCTTAATATTTTTACGAGTTAAAGATTTTAGTCTTAAAAACTTCAGACCTAATGAATAATATATGCAAATAATTAAATAGATATATAACCTTGAAAACTTTACTAATGAAATTTAAATATTAGTGTAAATCGCCTTTAATCACTTGAAATACTGAGATCGCAGATTTAACTTTAAGTTGATTAATAAGAGGAGTTGGCTTTTTCGCAAAATTCACAAATTCGACTTTATTCTGACGAATTTAATCCTAAATACAATAAGGAATGGAATAGAAAGTATATAAAGAAGCAAGAGGACCTTCATATCAAATAGATATGATTGTTATTTTCATTAGATTGTTATGGATCTGGATTAAATGTAAATAAATATAGGTTAAATTAATATTGGATTGGCTTAAAAAGATTGCAATCCAAATGAATGGAGAATTCTGTTTCATGGCACATAATTTTTGCTGTTAGTTCAATAGTGAAAAATAATTTGATTCCTGGTATGTCCTAGATACATAGTGATGACTTATGCCTAGATGAAGATGGAAGAACAGTTAAAGTTGGTAAAGGCGTTTATTTTACAGTTGATGTATAATTAGCATTGCTTTATGCTAAAAAAAGTATAATTTAAATGCTTTTGTTATTATGGTAAGAGTATATCCTTAAAAAAAAATAAGACAACCCTAATACCCGAAATAGGGGGTCATTTTGTAGTTAATGATTCGAATAATATAAGGCCCATATAGATTTATATAACAATATTTATGATGATAAATTATTTATTAATTAATACAATTTCATTTCCAAAACATTCAGTATTATTTTAAATAAGTACAGAACATAAAATATCTCAGCAAGTAATAAAAATAGGTTCAATCTCAAATCACATTATCTTTTATTAATAATTTANGAGCCTGAATATTACACTCTACCCATATGTAAAAGATGTTTTTAGACCTAGAAGGATACTTTGGGATATTATAACAAGACGTGAACCTTGTCTTAAGTAAGGCTGTCCACAGTCAATGATTAATTGCACATACAAATAATAATATAATAATACTTTCGATATCTATTGAGTTGAATATTCAACTCCTATGTATCACCTATAGTTCTAAAAGTCTTAATCTATATCACTCCTATTTAGGTAAAAAAAATATAAAATATTGTGTTGAGAATTTCATATTGGACATCATCTGTACATTCTATTAAATTGAATCTATTTCCTAGTTTTTGAAATAATGTTCTATAAATTATTAATTTACATTAATGCAAATAAAACTGCTAACTGCAAAGAAACACTTCATTTTGTCTGCTTTGACTGACACTATTTCTCATGTTAAGACAACCTTACTAAGGCTTATATTTAGGAAAACTTAGTCGTTTACCTATCTATTCACAAAGACCATTCGATTTGAAGTTGCCATATAAAATTTGAATAATATTCTTTCTGAAATTAAAATTCAAGCAATTTGATCTAATCGAAATTTAGTGTATTTTGAATTAGGGGTCAAAAAAAACTAATTGGTGTTTTAATTAATTCATAAATTATAACTGATAACTAGTTCTATTTCTAATTTTAAAACTCTCTCTATTTTTATTTATGATCACTTAATGAACATGATTAACTTAGTCAGTATTGAATTTGATTTTAACTGCATGGGATCGATTATAATCTTATATTTAATATCTCATTCGTTAGCGATAATAACTTTAATAACAGAATTTAAAATTAATTTTTTGTTTGTTTGCAAATTGCCTATATGTAATATTCGAATATAACAAATTGACAATAACCTATTAATGGCTTTGAATAGCAATTAGAGAGAGAAGTATTGGTTAGAAAGGATTAATAATGAACTAAAACCAAAACTGCATACTCTTTCTTCTTTTTAACAGGTTAGAATTACTTATATAATTTAAAATAAAAAAAACTTCATTTGGTCATTAACAGGTAAGAATATTTAAAGGGTAATTCAGATAAATATTTTTGTAAGTTAGTGTCTTTGCTTTAAAAATTTTGTGATAATTAATTATGATATCCATAAAAATAAACTTTCTTAACTTTTATCAGTAATTTAAAAAAGATCTTAATTTTAGATGACAAATCAGCTTAATATTTTTACGAGTTAAAGATTTTAGTCTTAAAAACTTCAGACCGTTTAATTAATGAATAATATATGCAAATAATTAAATAGATATATAACCTTGAAAACTTTACTAAAGACATTTAAATATTAGTGTAAATCGCCTTTAATCACTTGAAATACTGAGATCGCAGATTTAACTTTAAGTTGATTAATAAGAGGAGTTGGCTTTTTCGCAAAATTCACAAATTCGACTTTATTCTGACGAATTTAATCCTAAATACAATAAGGAATGGAATAGAAAGTATATAAAGAAGCAAGAGGACCTTCATATCAAATAGATATGATTGTTATTTTCATTAGATTGTTATGGATCTGGATTAAATGTAAATAAATATAGGTTAAATTAATATTGGATTGGCTTAAAAAGATTGCAATCCAAATGAATGGAGAATTCTGTTTCATGGCACATAATTTTTGCTGTTAGTTCAATAGTGAAAAATAATTTGATTCCTGGTATGTCCTAGATACATAGTGATGACTTATGCCTAGATGAAGATGGAAGAACAGTTAAAGTTGGTAAAGGCGTTTATTTTACAGTTGATGTATAATTAGCATTGCTTTATGCTAAAAAAAGTATAATTTAAATGCTTTTGTTATTATGGTAAGAGTATATCCTTAAAAAAAAATAAGACAACCCTAATACCCGAAATAGGGGGTCATTTTGTAGTTAATGATTCGAATAATATAAGGCCCATATAGATTTATATAACAATATTTATGATGATAAATTATTTATTAATTAATACAATTTCATTTCCAAAACATTCAGTATTATTTTAAATAAGTACAGAACATAAAATATCTCAGCAAGTAATAAAAATAGGTTCAATCTCAAATCACATTATCTTTTATTAATAATTTAGTTTAGGTATATTAAATGATCAACAATGTTCAATTATTGAGTGTATATAAATGCTTTAATGAAATCATATTCATAAATAAGGTTCCATTATGTGTTTTATAAAAAAGATCCTCTTAGTGATGAATCGATTGGGTATTAAACTGAATTCTTTTGAATGGAAATGCTGAAGTTAACTAATTCATTTTATCTTTGCAGATTAGATAAGATTTAACTAATATATTCATCGATATTGATTGAAATGTTGGTGATTTGAAATATTCATTCTTGATATTTTATTTTCATAATTCAACATTGAATACAAACTAATCTGGCTGAGGCAAAAAATTGATTGCTGTTAAACTTCTATAGGCTATGAATCCTTCTTCATTTTTCCATTTTAAGCTTACTAATAACATTAAATAAACCACCTAAACCTTCATCTACTTAATACAGTTAATTCATATCAAATACAATCTGATTCTCTTCAAAAAATTCATTATAATTGAATTTTTAGAAAAACCCTTACTCAGGTCCCTGTCTAAACAACATAATATTTTATAATTTTCCACTTTTTAATACAGATTCTTTTAAGAAAATTAAAAATATATAAATATAATAGAATTATGTAATAAGTTGAATAATTTCAAGTGAAATTTGAAAAAGTCATCGGACGAGGAGCTTTTGGGTAGATTTTTTAGGGGGAAATCGATGTTAGTAAAGTTGTTGCCCTCAAAGTCTAAGATAGAATAACTGAACATGAGAAGCAGATTTTAACTGCACTTAAAGGGAATTAATTTGATCATATCATTGAAGTGATTGCTTTTGAAGAAAACAACAAAGGAGTTTTCACGGTTATGGAACTCGGACAATGCTTGTAATTACAAAATCAATCTGATAAAAGAAGGATTTGTTTGGAAGTATACAATATTAAATATCTTAGATGTCTAAAGGGGTTGCATAATTACATAAATTAAGATTTTTTCATAGAGATTTAAAACCAGATAATTTTGTATTAGGATAAGATAATAAAATCAAATTGATAGATTTTGGAATTTCAAAAACAATTGAATCTATAACTTAATCTCGAATGCAAGGAACATCAAAATATATGGCTCCAGAAGTTGTTGCATGCACAGATTATGATTCTTCTGTTGATATTTGGTCTTTGGGAATATTGTTTTATGAAGTATTTACAAATGAATAATTTTTTGCAAAATTTGAAGAGTCTGATATGATTCAAATAATTCAAGAAGTTCAGCAAATATAAATCAATTAAAAAATAAGAGGATAAAAATAATTAGAATAATGGTAAAAAGAATTATTATAAAAAATGATTGTTCAAAAATTGGATGAAAATTTACAGTTGGTCTAGTCTATAGAAAGAATAAGTATAGATGAAGTAATTCAAGTGCTTGAAAAACATGATGAATCAATTATTCAAGACAATATTGAATTAAAGCAGGATAAATAACATAATTAGGTTGGTCTTAACTTCATTAACTAATTTATTTTATACCATTATACTATGCTTCTTCAGTTAATGTAAACATTAAAAATAAAAATACCATAATACTTTTTGTAGATTAGCAATTTTATTCTACTTATGATCTCCAACATTAAATTATGGCTTTTTAATATTTAGCATTCTTTATTAATCTGTATCAAAGAGGAGTAATAAAAGAATGACTAATTAATTTAATCAAACATAAATGAAATACAGAATTATTTAAAACCTTATATAGAGCTCTATTTGTATCTATACCCTATATTAAAAGTAGCTTATTAAAAATGTTTACACTATTTACAAGTAGTTTATTAAGCTGTAATGTATTTTTTCAAAATAGTTGTAAAAATCCCAGTAGTGATCATACTTGTAAATTACAATTTCGGAGTAATGCTTTTAAAAAGATGTTATCTAATTATTTAGTTATTTAAAAGATTTTAAATCATTATTATTTATTAATTAATAAATGTATCTAAACCTAAATAATACCCTATTGCGCTATTAATTGGGGAAGCTGGTGTTGGTAAAACAAAATTGTACAATCAAATTAATGATTCAGAAACCTTGTAATATGAAATTATAGAGACAAGTTCTTTTGATTTTTAACATAATTATGAATAAAGGGAAAAGCAAATAACAGAATTTTAAGATATATTTTATAGTAAACCAAATAAAGTGGCTACATTATTCTTGGTTGTAAAATTTCAAGAGCTTCATTTAATGAAAAGATCAATATTGAATATTTATCCTTACTTCAAGAAGTTTTAGAGTTAAATAACCCTTGTTGTTACTCATTTTGATTTAAGTGATGACTAGAAATAAGATAAAATTGATTTATAAATAGCATTAAAATTGTTTAAAGTAAAGTCCATTTTATTTGTTGGTCAGAAAACATCGAAATAAGAATTAATAGCTTAAATAAGAGCTTCAGATTGTTTAATTCCAATTGGAGAAGGCTATTAATTTGATTTATCTGATACAATATTTGAACAGTTTCACAAATAAAATCGATAGGAAGTTATGAATGCTTAATAAGAGTTGATTGAATGATTGTGAGTTTTATCTGACATATAAGTGGTTCATACTTATAGATATTATTTTTTATATTTATATTATGTTCTTTTTTTATTTAATTTGATTTTTATTATTGTATAAACTTAAAATAGATTATTTATATTTAAATACAGTTTTTTCTAATTCTCAAACCTTATTGTTCAAATAATTTTATTTCTTTCCAATTTATTCAACTTTAAAACTAACAAAGCTTTATTTTATTCCATTTTTGGATTAAATTCCATTAGAATATTAAACTTAGAGGATGGTGAATATACAATTAAATAAAATTCAATTGCCAGATTATTCAAATCTGATTTATTGACGGCCAAATAATTAAAATAAAGAAACTTTAAGGTACCCTTGAAATAGAAAGTCTCCTGAAGCCTTATCAATATCAATAATCATTTCAAGTTTGAACGAAGCATTAAATAGTCCTAGTGATTTATTATAGAGTTTATTTTGACCATGTGCTTAATTATCATTCAAATAATCGAATTCTTATAACATAGAATCTTTTATAATAAGGTTAATATTTTATTATTAATAGACAGCTGAATCAGGAAAAAAGTTCTTTCTATCAGATATTCAACAAAAATAAAGGATGGGACAGCCATGACAAGATTCAAAATTATTCTCTCCTTAAGTTTAGAATAAAAACCTCATAAAAATAGTTTTTTCATCTATAATGTAAGGGTGTTAACAAGAGAGATTTAAAATTGATATATGCAATCGCCAATTGTTAGGTCAATTTGATCTTTGATTTTTTGAGTATAACTCCAATTATTTGTGAACCAAGTCAGAGAATTAAACTTTTATTGGTTTCAAATGCTTGAGAATTAGAAAATCAACAAAGGCATAGATTCGAGCTTCAAAATGTAAGGTAGCATTATAATAATTGATTTGCAACCGTATTTATAGAATATCAAAAATATTTGGTAATTTGTTAAAAATCATTAAGCGTGAAAACTGATATCACCAAGACCTAATGAATATTTTTGAGCAGAATTACATATTCACATTTGTTGCAAATTTTTAGAAAATTGAAAACATACCGTGATTTTAATATCAAATAAAAATGAATTGTTAAAATTGACTCCATATATGGATTTGTTAATTAACACGTGTTGAAAATGTAATAAGCCAGCAATGTTATATGATGTTATAATTTATCATTTGGCGAAAACTATAAACTTGATTAATTGATTTGCGCTCTCCAATATAATGCAAAGTAAAAGGTCAGCACTTCCTTTACTATGCATTTGTCTGATTTTATCGAACTTTAACATTTCATTTTTCTGCTATAAAATTGCTTACAATAATTGTCTATAATTTATATAAATTGTAATAATAGTTAATTAAAGAAGCTTCCTGAATTTCTTTATTATTAAGATCCAAAACATTCTGATTTTGTATGGTATACAATGAAATACAAAAAATGTTAGAAACAGGCACAATTTTAGATTTGTTAGAGAAAATAATTAATTTAAACTCAAAATCATCGGGTGGAAGGAGAATACTTTGCTTAAAACCTTCTCAAAATCATTGTCTTAAATTTAATTATAAAAGCTGTAATTATGTCTGAAGTTGGGTTCTTACACACTACACACTGGGCAAATTGAATATTAGGATTTAGAGATATTATATAAAATAAATAATTACATAATTGAAGGAGTTGGGTGTGAGGTGTTAAATTTACTCAGAATAGGTCATAAAGTTATCATTCACTTATATCTATGATGATGTGATCTTAATAGAAGGGAGAATTTAATGTGAATTTCATATAAAAAATTATATTTCTAACAAGGTTTAAACTCACACAAAGTCATAAATTATATGTCTTATACATTTTCTACAGTTTCATTCAATAGCTGATTAATTCAAATTCACTCATATTGTATTATGATTATGTCATTCCTCTGCAAATTGAATATATACAATAATTTTGTTTCAAGGAATTTCAAATATCTTCGATAAATTAAAGGGAACCATTTTATTTAACAGATAGTACAGACTAGAATTTAATAACATGAATATAATCTAATATATTGAAAATAAATAAGTAAATAGCTAGGTTTCATTCTTAGATTTTTCTACATAATAAGTTTAATCCCATAAATATTGATGTAGGCAAGATTTATATCTTTAAATATACACTTGCCAATTTAATATCCCAGTTATAAAATATTTTCCTATTTTAATTTTAAAAATATTTCTAATATTCACTCTAACCATGCAAGCGATGCTTGATATAAAATTCAATTATTATCCTATACTTTTTAGTTTTATTTGATTGAATAAGACTCATTTTAATGGATATCTAGCACATCACATGAATTGCTTGTACAAGTTGATTGTACTATCTTAGAATATTATTTTGGAACAGTCTATTCAAGTGATGTGCTTTAGATATAAAATTATAAAATTTATCTGTTAAACATTAGTCTGTTTTATTCAATTGATGATTTTAAATGTTGAAAGCGAAGTTATTTTTTTAAACAGAGTTATCAGCAAAACTTAAATTCAAAACCTATTTCTTTTATTATAATGCCCATTTTCCTATTACAATGATGAAATTATAACCGATATTACAATTCATTTTATTGTCTTTAAAATTTTGGAATATTAAAGCAAAGAATAAAATTTATAGTTGAATAATAATATTTTTTTTTTTTTGGCTTTAAAAGTCTTTGAAATCATTTTATAATAATATATATAGCAATCCATAAATTGAGAATTGTTTTCAATAATTTTTAGATTACTTTTTAATTTAATATTAATGCCTTGTAGACGCTATTACTTATTATACTTCATCTTATCATTTTTTAATTGTTTTTACATTCAAAAATTTATTCCAAATATACAAATTTTTATATATTACGTCATTTATAATGAAAAAGGATGCTATAAATCCAAATTAAATAGAAAATCATTATTAATTAAAATAACATTTGATAAAATATGCTAGAGTGCGAAGAATAAGATCATAATTAATAAGAGATAATATTAATCTGTATAAATGTAGATTGTTAAATAAAAAGATCATGTTGTATAGATTGTATTGTAAAACACAATTCACATAAATAAGATTTGAAATCAATTAATTAAATTACAAAATGGAAAAAAAGTACAACTAATGACTACGAAATATATTAGAAAAAGATTACTTAGATTGTTGAAATAATGAGTTAAGCTCAAAAATACGTATCTTGTTTTGTTGAAGATTTAGAAAAGTCATTCGACGAAATCATGATAGAAGAGTTTGAAAAATAAGTTTGCAATTTATTAAGAATCCAGCAATTATCATCATCCTTCAATTAATTAACATCTAATCTAGAAACATTTATGGAACCTATTTCTTAAATATTTTCTACAGTTGAGTCATCTTCAAAAGACAAATGGGTTAAAGCTTAGCCACCTCTGAATATCACTAAAAATTAATATCAAAATATTGCCTAGGAATAATCAATACAAAAGGAATAACAAATAGATTTTGAAAATAAAGAGCCTAAGCAAGAAAAATAAATGAAAAAATTCGAGAATTTAGATTTAATAAGGAAAGAGAATGGTTTTAATATTTATCAATATCCTAGATATTACAAATCATCTATAGAATGTCTTGAAGAATATAAAACAATAATTTTAATAGGAACTTAAAATTCAGATAAGTAAAATTTAATTAATTTATTTGTAAATTATTATTATGGTGTTGAGTTTTCAGATAATTATAGATTTGAAATAATGGATGATATTGATATATCTAAAGATAGACAAAATGATGAATATTAATAAATGAAAGTCTATTATGTTACTCCATCAAATGGATAATCAGGACTTAGAATTATATATACATTAGATTATAATGATGATCTAAGTTATGATGATTAAAACAAAACAGATACAATTTAAAATGTAATATATAATTCAGCTTCACTTAATCAAAATATTCTAATTGGTTTTGTCATTCCATAACAAGTGTAAATAGGAACATTTTTTATGTTGGAATCTATTTTAAGTAGATTCCCAAACATTTTAATCAATAATATACTCTTTTTATTTCCAGATTGTACAGATGAATTTCCTAAGTAAAAGCAAACATTGTAATCTAAAACAGAAATGATTAATGGAATACTATCTCCAGTTTTCAAAATGATACCAACTAAAAGTAATTTTTGGTATCTCTAATTTAATACTAGTGTGGTATATTAAGAAAATAAAAAAAAATAGAATTAAGTTTTCTGGGAAATGGGAAAGAATAGTTTTTAATTGCTACTTAGTGAATCTTTATCAAATAAAATTAATTGCAATATATTATTGGAGATGAAGTGTAAGTATGATGAATTTTTTAAAGTTATTAATTTCTCAATGTTTACAGAACAAATGAAGGAAATGTTTTTATTTTTGTATAAAAGAGAGAATTTTCAAATCTAGTTTTTATAGTAATATGAAAATATTAAACAAAAACTAGAAGACTTTCTAGATTTTAGTAAGACAAAGACATAATAACAAAATGGACCCATTCATTATTTATATTATTTCCAAAATAATGATGAAGGTTTTAAATAACCTATTGAAAAAATTATGAAGGACTATAACTACTTCATAGAGTAAAATATTCAAAAATTTCGTGATTTCTAAATCCTTATAAAAAACAAAGATGATTATAATTAAGATTTTGAGCATTTTTATGAATAGTTTAAAAATTTTGGAAGTTTTATGGAGTAATAATATAAGTCATGGCAATAATATTTCAAATTTAATTCAATATTAACCTCTATAAATCACGGTTAAGGAAAATATTATGAACTTTTAAATTCCAAAGAATAAAGTTTAATTCAAGAAGGGTGGCAAGAAAGAGCGAAACTATTAACAAAAACAAGTAAATCCTTTTAATATTTTGATGGTCTCATCAAATTACCTAATCTAGAGCAACTAATAAATTAATGGTTTGATTAATATTTTAGTGAAAAGGGGTGTACTATTAATAAATATTATAAAATTACATGGTAGTTTACAATTAGTATTTATTGGGTATTGGATGTTGTATAAGTAGAATTATTTAAGAATTATCAACAATTACAAATTAAAAAAAGAATATCAGAAGATTGTGATAAGCATTTTGACAATTTTATTTTAAGAATTTTGCAAGATATATTAAATTGATTGTTTCATAATGTATATTAATATCATTCATCAGAGATCTAAAGCGAATCTTTAAGGTATTTCAAATAAAACTTAATATGTAACCAGAAAACAATAATTTGAAATTATATGCTCAGATGTATATCCACAATAAAACGTATAGTTTTTAATCTTTAATCGTTTTGAATAGTCCCAAAGAAGTAAAACATTACTCTCATTAAGAAATAGGACTATTTTATCTTAAAACATTTTATTAGCAATTTCATCATATCATTGTTGATTCTATTATCTTACAAATATAATGTAATTTAACTGAATTTTTAAACTAATTAATAATGTAGATAAATTGCCAGTAATTAAAATTAAGAAACCCAGAGTTTATGGATTTATTATAATTAATGATATAAGGATTTAAAAATTAGACACTTAAAAGATATTCAGAATCAATTTCAAAAGAATCTTTCCTTCCTACTTTGCTAAGTTTGTAGAACTACTCTAAAAAAAATACCAAGAAAGCATTACCTTTTTTAAAAATCCCATCTGAATTTTTAAACTGTATTTTGAATCTTTACTATAACATAAAATGTCTAAATTTTGATGATGGAATAAAATATGGAAACCAAAATCTGAGAGAAATATCAATTTTCTCAGATCTAACTTTTTACAAGAAGATTCAATTTATCTATTCTCTTAGTTATCTATAGTCAGGGGGTAATAGTAATTTTTGGAATAAATTCTATGATAAAAAGTATCTAAATTTTGGTTATAAATTGATGTTGCATATCAAAATTTGCTATAATATTGATTACTGTTTAATTTCTTCTACATCGCTAAGATGTAAACCAAATTAAATAAGCTATGACCAGGTTCTATATCCTTGATTTAAAAGTTTACGATGATACAAGGATGCTTAAAATATAAGTAGAAACTTTGAAATTAGGCTTTAAAAATTTAATGGTTTATTAAAGAATTGTTTTATATGTTTCCTTGATAATAAATGATTAAATTACTGAGTTTTGATTATTAAACAAGAAAAAAAATCTCAACAAATAGTTGTTACCTATTTACTCAGATAAGAATTTTCTTTTTCTATTAATTTTTTTTTTTTTTATACAACAATCATTACATAATGTCAGATTACTTTCTAAATGTCTGATCATACTGTTGCTTCTTTTTTCAATATTTGAGGAAATCAAATAGTTGATTAATATTATTAGATTTTATTATATATGTAATTAATCTAAGTTTGGACTTGAACAATATTTTGACTTGGTCTCATAATATATTTCAAACCGAGGGTGCTCTTTAGAAATGGTAGAAATATTGGAAGATAGCTAGAGTTAATAGATGATTATCATGAGTATTCAGTTATATTCATAGAATAAATAGCTTCAAGTCATTATTATTAAAACTATGTCTCTTGGATTGAGTGGAAGAATAATTTTAGTGAGTAAGACGCTGCATTGTAGCATTAATTATCTGACTGAGTAAAGGCATAAATTGAATAATTTTTTTATTAAATTTCTAGGAAACAGCATGTGAATATTGAAAATTCGATATTTCTGGAATCAAAAACAAAAATAGGTGTTGGCATATCTAAATAATTATATAACAATTTTAAGGTAATGAGATATTCATATTCTAACTTAGAATAGCTAGTTTACTAGGGAGATATATGAGATGGAAAAATTAGGGGGGAGTAATTTGATTCAGAAGTATTTTGGATAATAAAAGTAATAAGGATTTTGCAATATGCTATCTATTTTTTAAAGGTAGGATGATTTTGAGAGGAAACTAGACTTGTCAGCTGAAAAAAAATTTCCAAGATATATTGTAATTTTCCAATGATAATTAATCTAAAAAACTATTCTTATTTCTAAATGGAGATACAAGCAGGCAAAACAAATAAAAGAATAATAATATCTACTCCCTTTTCATCTGAAGGGATGGCCATGTAATAAACTAAAATTGGATTTTCAACAATTAAACCCTTATCGGTTTCTATAGCATTACTACTCATTAAATTAAATGTTTAGAATTCAGAATTACAATCAATTCACTACTTATAGGAATCTTGGAGTTTTATAAGGTGAGATCAAGTTAATAACCTAACCTGAAAGATTTGCAAACGCTATTTCTTCATAGATTTGCAGTTACACTAGATGTTCTTTTTGCTCTTTGTTCTAAATCCACATCCATTTCAAATCATTTCAAAATTTTCCATCAATTTAAATACTTCATTTAAGTTGTGATTACATATCCAATACCAAATTCATTTTTTATTTAATTTATGAATTCCTTAAGGTGACTACACAGTATCAGGACATAACATACAGAATGAATTACAAATTGAAAGGCCTCAAATTTTAGCTATCATAAAAAATGGTAGCCTTTTGAATTAGACATCTTTCAAAAAGAATTTCAAGGATTAAGGTNTTCGATATTTCTGGAATCAAAAACAAAAATAGGTGTTGGCATATCTAAATAATTATATAACAATTTTAAGGTAATGAGATATTCATATTCTAACTTAGAATAGCTAGTTTACTAGGGAGATATATGAGATGGAAAAATTAGGGGGGAGTAATTTGATTCAGAAGTATTTTGGATAATAAAAGTAATAAGGATTTTGCAATATGCTATCTATTTTTTAAAGGTAGGATGATTTTGAGAGGAAACTAGACTTGTCAGCTGAAAAAAAATTTCCAAGATATATTGTAATTTTCCAATGATAATTAATCTAAAAAACTATTCTTAAAATTAAATTATGTAACGAGAGGCAGATAAGGACAAATTTAGTTTTAATAACTTTTGGGTACTAAATACATTTGTCATAGAAATATCATTTTTTAACATCAATGATATATAAAAAAATTTGTTACTTTAGCTCATTTCAACGTTCTTTTTTGATTGTATTGAGATGGAATCAAGCTATTATAATTGGAGAAGTATTAAGTCTTCTTGGATTTAATTATGATATTTCTATGTGGATCCTGTTATCATCAATCATTTTTAGTAGAATTTTTGAATACATTTTCAAAGTAATCAATTTATTATATTTTAGACTTAAGTCAAAAACTTTTTTTATATGAAATAAGTAAGAATTTTTTTTATCATTAAATTATTCCTATTCTTGTTAATGTTAGCCACATTTTTATTTGGAATATATTTCTATTTAATGATCTAGAATTAAACAAGTTTGGTATTAAATACTAATTAATCATTAGATAATTTCATATGACTTTGCCATTTTAATTGATCTACTATTTTTGGATATGATCTTATTTATTGCCATTAAATTTTGGATAAGGGAAGAAAAAATTAATTAGAATAAACTTAGAGATTTTAATTTATAGCGAAGGCCTAGAACATCAGTTAATTTTGAAATTATCTAAAAATACATCCAAGATTTATATCATCATTTAATTTTTGATTTATTAATAAAATTTATTAGATATTTAATTGAAGTCATTTATTAATAATATTAATAAAAATTAAATTCACTTTTTATTTTCCAGCCAAGAAGATAAAAGTTGAGGAGAGAAGCTGCAATGAAAGTAACTGTAGAAAAAAGAATTTTGATCACCTGATCAGTCAAATAGGGGGAATTCTATAAGAATTCGACCATCCTAGACAGACCCTTCCCTTATGGGGAAAGCTCTACTTTGGCCATAGATTGAACAATAATATAGAGTGAACTCGCCCAAAGAATTTCACTGCTTAGCCTAGATCCTTTGGGTAAGTGTATATAACAGAGAGTGGAAGAAATGATGAAGAATGAAAAACAATGAATTAAACGCAAAAGGATAATGTAAGAGCTGATTTATTGGATTAAGATGGAAATGTTAAAAAATAGCATAAATCCATGATGAAAAGTTCGAAACTCTATATTGAAAGTATTGGAAATAGAAATGGAAAAGAAGAAGTGACAACCTGTCCTACAGGATATCTCAAATGTAGTAAAAAATGTTTGAAAACTCCACCCGATGGGTATTATTCAGATGGAATTAGTTGCATTTAATGCAATAGTAAATGTACAAAATGCACATCTCCAACTATATGCTAAGCATGTAGTTAAAACAACTTTCTAACTTTGTAGACTTGTAATAATGTTTGTACTAATAAATATCTTTATATGGATCCAACAACATAGACTTGCGTTACAAAATGTCCACCCTAACTTTATCATGAAGAATCGTATGATAAAAGGAGTTGTGTTGAGGATTGTCTCTTAGGTTTTAAGTTTAATGATTAATGTGTTGATTCCTGTCCTAAAGGAATGTATATTAACAATAATTTCTGTATGAAGTGCCCCTAAAAATGTGAAGAATGTACATCACTAACAAATTGCACTTTATGTGTTCAAAATTATTTTTTGGAAAATGGACGCTGTTAGTTAAGTTGTTTTTTTGGCAAAACGGATTATAAAAATCATGCTTGTGTCTCATAATGTGATCCATCACTATTTGAATATTAAAATTAATGTTTAGAAAGTTGTCCCACAAATCCGGTATTTTATTATCATTCAAATATCTGCATGGATGCATGTCCAAATAATACAGTCTAGTATAATTAAGAGTGTCTTGATTGTGATGTGTCATGCTCAACATGTATTGGCCCCTCAAACAATGATTGTCTAATTTGCAAAGAAACCTATTATTTGCATGATTAATAATGTATTCTTACTTGTCCTCATTTATATAATGAAGTAGATAGATCTTGCGTTATTTCTTGTCCTCGAAATCTTCTGTTGGATGGAAATAAGTGTGTTTTGATTTGTAGTTTGTACATGTATTCTAATACCTGTTTGTCAAGCTGTCCACCGGGAACATACAAATCAAATTAGATTTACTATGATTGCTCTTAAAATTGTCTTGAATGCGATTCTTTTGGATGTAATAAATGTGCAAATGGATCATTTTTAAATGATGGAAGTTGTAGTAATTATTGCCCAAACTATTACAATATTATCTAAAATCAATGTGAGGAATAGTGTCCAGAAGGAACATTTCTTTATATTGATCAATGCTATGCATCTTGTCCAGCAAATACATATACATACCTGTAAGCATGCATTTTAGACTGCCCTTTGAGAACAATTGTAATAGATTTCATTTGCTACTAATGCCCAGGGAGATGCGCAGTTTGTAAAAATCAATACGAATGTCTTAATTGTGATGAACCTTATTACTAATATAAAGGAGAATGTGTTATGGCATGTCCAACAGTACTTCCTTATTAGAATAAAATTTATCATGAATGTTAATCGGAATGTTCTCCAAATACATATGAAAAAGGATATGACTGTGTTAAAGAATGTGATTTAATTATCTATTAGAATAAATGTGTAAAATAATGTCCATACGGATATTATGGTAATACGATATGTAAACCATGTAAATTGGAGTGCAAAGATTGCACTGATTTTAATATTTGCACAGAATGTTCAGACCATTTTTACCTTGAGCATAATTAATGTGATAAACAATGTACTAGAATCAAAGATCTGAAATAAAAGAAATGCGTTGATTCATGTTCCTCGCTTCTGTATCAAAATGTGTGCTTTGAAAATTGTCCTATAAACACATTTTAACATACAAATACATGTCTTCAAAAGTGCTTAGATGGATATTTTGGTTCGAAAGAATTCAAATGTGAAAAGTGCCCTTATTAATGTATCACATGCACATCTTTTAATTAATGTAGCAGTTGTAAAGTTGGATATTATTTATATCAGAATTAATGTTTAAATTAATGTCCTGATAAATTATTTTCAAATCAATTAATCAGTTAATGTTCATCATGGTGTCCAGATAAAACATTCACATTTAGAAATTAATGCTTATATGAATGTCCAAGTGATTATTTTAATGACACCGAAAATTATAAATGTGTTTCATCTTGTAGCAATCAACAATATCGTAATAAAAACAGTTGTTATCCCTGCTCTATTGAATGTGATTAATGCACAACCTATGGGAATTAGAATTGTATAGCCTGTGCAACAAATTACATTTTAACAGAAGATGGACATTGTTTTGGAAATTGCAAAGCTGGTTATTATTAAACATCTAATTCTTGTGAGAAATGCTTGCATAAATGTTTGACTTGTTAGAATGATACAGAATGTTTATAATGCAGGGGAAATAATAGAGATTAACTTGACTGCTCATGCCCAAAAGGATTTTATGATGATCCATTCTATGATAATTGTTAACAGTGTCCATGTGAGGAATGTATTTCTGAAACTGAGTGTCTAGTATGCAAAAATAATCTCTAAGTTCCCAACTGTTCATGCAATAGGAGACTTAATGAAGATTGGTGTATTACTTGCCAAGTAGCATCTGTAAATATAAAATATTCAGATGATCTAAATTAAATCATAGTTTATTTTGGATATTTGATATCTGTTAATTTAATTAACCCTTTCTAACCCTCTAGTTGTTCTCTTTGGTTTAATAATGCTGAAATATTTGGAAAAGATGCTTAATGCTATTTGTCATGGGATAGGTATGTGGTTAACATCTTATTGGAGCCATACGCTTCTGTTAATGTTGGAGATAATTTGAGTTTCAAATAATCTTTCTATCGAGATGTAAATGAAGGTCTTTGTGATGGATAATATATTGAAATATTTATTGATAGCACTGTCAAGGGACCTTCAGCATAAACTAAACCTTACATACTGTTTGATGTACCATCTGTTGTAAGTACATGTAGGGTGATTCAAATTAAACAAATATTGCTTGAAGGAACAGCTAAAAAGATTCAAGATGTGTTATTTTGGACTCTGCATGAAATGGATAATGACGATTATTATCTGTAAATGGATGCATTCTTGGCAAATTAAAAAATTGAATTCATCATTCCAATAGGTACTCTAGCCTCTAATGTTACATATACAATAACAGCCAAATATGTGAATTTCATAAACAGGGTAAATTTCACAACATTCACATTCACTACACTGGCAGACTTAGTTCCTTATGTTTTTCTATAATATAACCCTTTGATAGCAAGGGTTTATGTTTTCGATTGTAAAGTCACATATTCTGATTTGAAAAATTAGTTTAATTTGTCCATTCAAATTTCTGATTCCAATAATAAAACTTACCTTTCCATGCAGCAACCCATTAACCCCATTTATGAAGTCCTATTAAATGAATCTCTTTTACCTAAAGAAACCCAGTTACTTTTTATGGCATCAACAGGAAGTTCGTTCATTTAAGAAAAGATTTATCTAAAATCGAAAAACATTGACATTAAATTCCTTTAAAAGAATAGATTTATTGGATTAGACAATTAAATTAATGCAAGAGCCTTCGATAGAAATGTATAAGATGAAGTTTTAAGTACTTTAAATATTGAATATCAATGGAAGTGTAATAATTTATTCAATTTATAACCTTGTAAGACAGAAGAAAATAAGATTATGGAATTTCCATCCAGAAGAATTGCTGATATCCTTGCAGATAGTTAAAATACTACTTTTGTCTTCTTTGTTAAGGCATCAAAAGGTAATAGATGGACAGTAAAAGAGCAATTGATAGTTGTCACAGATTTTGAAATCGAAGAAGAATTTGTATTAAATTAAGAAGTTCCTCAAAATACTGTCAATCTTAATGATGAAATAACAATTTTAATTAGAAATAATTAAAAACATGCTTTCATTATGCAAGAATTCAAAATCTTGGCTTCTATCAAAACTATTGGCTCGACTTTAAAGTTTAGACTCGCAGGATTAACAACCAATTATAACAGTCCTGTGTACATCTATCTAGTCCCAGGCAATGAATCTATAGCATTTCAGCTAAACAGTCCTCCTTCAGAAGTTTATTTCAATATAGATCCTCTTCTAGGTTAATCTTTAGATTACTTTCACTATTCAGTCCAAAACCTATAACCTGGATATACTTTTAGTATTTATTACTATTTTGAGAAACCTATTCTCAAAAATGATGTAAATCTATAATCCATTAATTATGGTATACCTGTGGTGATTAATTCTTAAGAATTAGAAGGTTCCTTTTAACTTCCAAATGGAATTATTAATGATGCAATATCTGTTCTGTGCTAAATTGAATCAGCAAAGGGATCAAAGTCATATTAAGTGTCGGATATTCAAGTCAATAGAAAAAGATATCAGATAAATAAACTATTCCAATCTTTCAATAATCAAACTAATTTTTCAAATTTGCACAGTATACACACTATGATTAAACAAATGGAAATAGAATAATAATAGGTATGCTTAAAACAATGCTCAGGTGTAGGTACATGCATCAACAAAAAGTGCAAATGCCCTCCAGAATATTATTTTGATGATTGCAGTGGAACCATAGAAGAATACAATAAGTTTAGCGGCCTTATTTTAAATACTTTGCAATAATTAATTAAAATTCCAATAAAAAATGATGATGAGTTTAGATTGTTTGGCTAATCGTTATTGTATTTATCAACTTTATAAGATTTAAATAATACAATTACAAATTCAGATTGCTAATAAATATTAGAATAATACATTTAAAATTTAAATTAAAGATTAGAGAAAATCAACCAATACTCAATTAATCTTTAATATCAGTCAACTGCTTATCTGAATTACTCTCAAATTGACATAAGATAATTGGAAAATTAGAATGACTTACACACAGCCTTAAAGAGCACAGTATTTATGTGGGCTAAAACTCTATTTACTGAAGACTCTGCTGTCTATTAATTGCAAAGTCGGTTATAATGCTTTTTGTCATCCATCATAGAATTGACTCTATTTAGTATTGAATAAAATGAATCTATTGATTATTCAATTGATACAGCCTTTTTAAAAATGTAAAGAATTAATAATATATCCAATATCACAAAAGCAAGAATATTAGTTGAATCCATTGAAGATAATTCCAATGATTCAGAATACTATGACTTTGTTTAAGCTATATATATTCGTAATTACTTCGCTTTTGATGGTTACTATCCGTATCCCTTACAATTATATCCACTTTACGATTACTAAATACGCCAATAATATAGAAAATAAAATATTTAATTATAGACTTATATCTAATACAAATTTAAAGTACTTAATGATACTACAAATCTGGTTTGTTTAATGAGAAATTCTTAGACGTATGAATGGTCAAATGAAAATTGCACACTTCATGAATCCAATACATCCTATTTTTGTAATTGTACAACACTTGCTCCAACAACCATTTGCAATGATTATGACTACCTTTTTTCAAGTTATCCTTAGTTTTAATTGAATATCCCAAATCTGCTATATATTATTTACTTTGCTTAATTAATCATATTAGGAATATTCTTCATTAAGGCACGGAATTCTCAGCATGAAAAGTCTATAGATAATAATAAATTTGGTTAGGTACTCAAATTAGTAAAAAGCAGTAAAGTAGTAGCATTTGGAAATAAAATTGTTCCTATTGAGGATGAAAAACTAAATGATTCGATTGAGTCAAAATAACATTAAAATACACAACACGCAGATAAGAACAAATTTAGTTTTAATAATTTTTGGGTACTAAGTACATTTATCATAGAAATATTATTTTTTAACTTCAATGATTTATAAAAAAATTTGTTACTTTAGTTCATTTCATCTTTCTGTTTTGATTATATTGAGGTGGAATCAAGCCATTATTATTGGAGAAGTTTTAAGTATTATTGGATTTAGTTATGATATTTCTATGTGGATCCTGTTATCATCAATCATTTTTAGTAGAATTTTTGAGTACATTTTCAAAGTAATCAATTTATTATACTTTAGACTTAAGTCAAATACTTTTTTTATATGAAATAAGTAATAATTCTTTTTATCATCAAATTTTTCCTATTCATATTAATGTTATCCACATTTTTATTTGGAATATATTTCTATTTAATGATCCATAATTAAACAAGTTTGGTATTAAATACTAGTTTATCATAAGATAATTTCATATGCATTTGCCATTTTAATAGATTTTCTATTTTTAGATATCATCTAATTTAGTGCCAATAAATTTTTTGGATAAGAGAAGAAAAGATTAATTAGAAAAAAACTTAGAGAATTTAAATTTATAACTAAGGTGTAAGGCTTCAATTAATTCTGATATTATTTAAAATAACATCCAAGACACATATAATCTTTAATCTTTTATTATTGTTAAAATTTTGTAGTTATTTTATTAAAGTCATTTATTAATATTATAAGCAAGCAAGTTACGATAAAAGTTGAGGAGAGAATCCCTATTTAATGAAATGAAAGTAATGGTATTAAGAAGGTTTAGATTACCTAACCCGTCAATATAGGAGAATTCTAGAAAATTCGCCCTTCTTTTACAGACTCTTCCCATTACCGTGATGATTCTACATTGACCATGGATTGAACAATGATATAGAGTATTTGAATGTCAATAGTTTGTCAATTGATTTAAACTAATTAATTATAGATTATTACATCAAGTAAAATTTTAAGAACTTATTGAGAAAATACATTATTTGTTTTTAATTAATACAAATAGTATCTTTGTTAGATAGTCTATTATAGTTCGGAATGATATGTTAAATGTCTTACTTATTTAGTCCTGATCCTTCAAACTTAATAATAAAAGGCACTTTAATATTAATGAACTTGATTTATCTGACTGTATCATAAGTTTTCATTGCATACTATTATTATAATTTTATGGAATTTTTTATATTTTATAAGAAATAATTATAAAATTTGGAATAATTGTGATAGCACTTTTCATTATTATTATCTATTTAGAAATTATAGCTATTAGTATCATTTGGAGTTCAATGTTTTGTTTCTATTTTATTTATTTAAGATTAATAAATAACTACAAACTAATTTATTTGAATTGAATTTTTGAATTAAAATATGAATAAAGCACAAGTGATGATTTCAACAAAAAATGGAAATAATTTTAAATGTATTTTAAGGTGAAACCGAAATAATATGTGAATTTATTTTCAATAAAATTAAAAAAATTTATTATATAATCTACATTATTGACTTACATTAAATATCCAGAGTTTCCCAAATACTAAGTTTTTTCATATTAAATGCTAAAATCCTTCATCCAACTCAATTCACTTGCTAATCTTAATTACCAAACATTCTTCATCATAGGATCCCCTATTACTATGGCCGTCTTATGTAATATTTTTATATTTTAAATCTTTAAAATCGAAATCCCACTTCCCAACCTTTTTTTCTATTTTTAAATAGACCATCAAATAATTCACTCATTATTGCAATATAAAATTATACCTTTGCTTTCATTAATAAATAAATCATTTATAGTTGAGAACAATAAATTTTATCCCAAACCCTTGTTCAAAAATTCCTCGTGGACTTTTTTAAATTCGACCTTTTTGGTTATTTATAATTGTTTAAATTTACCTTTTAATAGATTTTAACTTTGTAAATATTCACAAAGTTCTATTTATTAAAGGCATTACTAAATAAGACCTCGATTAATTTATAATACATAATTTTCTTATATAGATTTTGGAAAATATTAGAATTTCCCAAATATATATATTAATATCAAAAAGCTAATTTTGATATTTATCGAATTCAAAGATTTTTTATAGCATTTATGTAGATGAAATTGATAGATGTAAAATTAAATTAACTCTAGAATATATAGGATTCTATAATTTTATGCAGTAAATATCATTTCTTGAACTAATTATATTAATAAATTACGAAAAAATGATTCATTATCTTTAGTCAGAATTTCAAAATGCATTTAAGGTAAATCTTATAATAGGAATAAAATATCAATACATATAAAGTCATAAGGTAAGATAATAAATGAGTTTTTTATTTTTGATAATATCAAAATTGCTTTTTCACTTTATTTTCTAATATATATAATAACCAAGCTAATTTATGTATTTATAAATATTAGAATAAGCATTATAAGTTAAGAAATTAAGCAGAAATTAAGTGTTTGTTTTCTTATCTTAGGTGATAAATTCAATTCTAGAATCAATTATTTGAATTATAAAACATTGTTATTTGGTACAAGCTTAACTCAAGTTAAATAACGACTTATTCATTTGGTAAATTAAAAGTAATCTTTCAACAAGTGTAAATAACTGGTTGATATAAATTGAGCAACTCTTTAATTACAAGATTGAATAAAAATTTGGTGGTTTGCATTTTATTTGAAAGATAAAATGTTAAAATATCCTTTTTAATCAACTTTGAAGAATTTTGATTATTAAATAATTTATTAATATTTAATTTTTATTCTAAATATGTGTATTGTTTATTCATATTTCATGATATTTTCTGATTTGAATTTCTTTTGAAATATCATCCCATGTCATCAAAAATTATCCGTCATCACTCAAATGTCCAAATAAATAAGCACTTCCAAATTGAATTGATTATTATATGCTAAACTCTTGATTTTCATTTGTCTTTATCAAATTCACATAAATGCCATTCTTATTAACAAGCAGCCATTTTGATTTTATATGCTATTACGGAAACAATGAATAACCATCCTTACTATATTTTACAAGAACATCTTTAGTCTTTAAATACTATTTATTTGTATCATTTATTTCATAAACATGCATTTATTCGCTTGAATCTGGCTAAAATGTAAAAACATTATCATTAATAAAGCATAATCTAGAACCATTAGTTTCAACTTTTATCTTTTAGATTACAATCCATTAAGAATCCTATTATGATTGTTCAATTATTAATATTTATTTATCATATCCACATGAAATCACTTTGTTCTATTGCTAATTCAAACTTAATCCATAGATAGTGCCAGTATGATCTGTTATAGTCTATTAGCATAACCATCCATTCTTGTTCATCCAAAATTTAATAGTTTTATCACAACTTCCTGAAATGATTAAATCTTCATTATTATTTAACACTAAACAATAAATACCTTTTGTATGTTCATTTAATTTTTATTAGCAAACCCATTAATTACTTTGGTTCATGGACCATATTATAATTAAATTATCATCACTTCCAGATATAAATTAATTAGATTTCTTCATGAAGTTTAATGTACACACATTATTGAGAAAATACATTATTTGTTTTTAATTAATACAAATAGTATCTTTGTTAGATAGTCTATTATAGTTCGGAATGATATGTTAAATGTCTTACTTATTTAGTCCTGATCCTTCAAACTTAATAATAAAAGGCACTTTAATATTAATGAACTTGATTTATCTGACTGTATCATAAGTTTTCATTGCATACTATTATTATAATTTTATGGAATTTTTTATATTTTATAAGAAATAATTATAAAATTTGGAATAATTGTGATAGCACTTTTCATTATTATTATCTATTTAGAAATTATAGCTATTAGTATCATTTGGAGTTCAATGTTTTGTTTCTATTTTATTTATTTAAGATTAATAAATAACTACAAACTAATTTATTTGAATTGAATTTTTGAATTAAAATATGAATAAAGCACAAGTGATGATTTCAACAAAAAATGGAAATAATTTTAAATGTATTTTAAGGTGAAACCGAAATAATATGTGAATTTATTTTCAATAAAATTAAAAAAATTTATTATATAATCTACATTATTGACTTACATTAAATATCCAGAGTTTCCCAAATACTAAGTTTTTTCATATTAAATGCTAAAATCCTTCATCCAACTCAATTCACTTGCTAATCTTAATTACCAAACATTCTTCATCATAGGATCCCCTATTACTATGGCCGTCTTATGTAATATTTTTATATTTTAAATCTTTAAAATCGAAATCCCACTTCCCAACCTTTTTTTCTATTTTTAAATAGACCATCAAATAATTCACTCATTATTGCAATATAAAATTATACCTTTGCTTTCATTAATAAATAAATCATTTATAGTTGAGAACAATAAATTTTATCCCAAACCCTTGTTCAAAAATTCCTCGTGGACTTTTTTAAATTCGACCTTTTTGGTTATTTATAATTGTTTAAATTTACCTTTTAATAGATTTTAACTTTGTAAATATTCACAAAGTTCTATTTATTAAAGGCATTACTAAATAAGACCTCGATTAATTTATAATACATAATTTTCTTATATAGATTTTGGAAAATATTAGAATTTCCCAAATATATATATTAATATCAAAAAGCTAATTTTGATATTTATCGAATTCAAAGATTTTTTATAGCATTTATGTAGATGAAATTGATAGATGTAAAATTAAATTAACTCTAGAATATATAGGATTCTATAATTTTATGCAGTAAATATCATTTCTTGAACTAATTATATTAATAAATTACGAAAAAATGATTCATTATCTTTAGTCAGAATTTCAAAATGCATTTAAGGTAAATCTTATAATAGGAATAAAATATCAATACATATAAAGTCATAAGGTAAGATAATAAATGAGTTTTTTATTTTTGATAATATCAAAATTGCTTTTTCACTTTATTTTCTAATATATATAATAACCAAGCTAATTTATGTATTTATAAATATTAGAATAAGCATTATAAGTTAAGAAATTAAGCAGAAATTAAGTGTTTGTTTTCTTATCTTAGGTGATAAATTCAATTCTAGAATCAATTATTTGAATTATAAAACATTGTTATTTGGTACAAGCTTAACTCAAGTTAAATAACGACTTATTCATTTGGTAAATTAAAAGTAATCTTTCAACAAGTGTAAATAACTGGTTGATATAAATTGAGCAACTCTTTAATTACAAGATTGAATAAAAATTTGGTGGTTTGCATTTTATTTGAAAGATAAAATGTTAAAATATCCTTTTTAATCAACTTTGAAGAATTTTGATTATTAAATAATTTATTAATATTTAATTTTTATTCTAAATATGTGTATTGTTTATTCATATTTCATGATATTTTCTGATTTGAATTTCTTTTGAAATATCATCCCATGTCATCAAAAATTATCCGTCATCACTCAAATGTCCAAATAAATAAGCACTTCCAAATTGAATTGATTATTATATGCTAAACTCTTGATTTTCATTTGTCTTTATCAAATTCACATAAATGCCATTCTTATTAACAAGCAGCCATTTTGATTTTATATGCTATTACGGAAACAATGAATAACCATCCTTACTATATTTTACAAGAACATCTTTAGTCTTTAAATACTATTTATTTGTATCATTTATTTCATAAACATGCATTTATTCGCTTGAATCTGGCTAAAATGTAAAAACATTATCATTAATAAAGCATAATCTAGAACCATTAGTTTCAACTTTTATCTTTTAGATTACAATCCATTAAGAATCCTATTATGATTGTTCAATTATTAATATTTATTTATCATATCCACATGAAATCACTTTGTTCTATTGCTAATTCAAACTTAATCCATAGATAGTGCCAGTATGATCTGTTATAGTCTATTAGCATAACCATCCATTTTTGTTCATCCAAAATTTTATAGTTTTATCACAACTTCCTGAAATGATTAAATCTTCATTATTATTTAACACTAAACAATAAATACCTTTTGTATGTTCATTTAATTTTTATTAGCAAACCCATTAATTACTTTGGTTCATGGACCATATTATAATTAAATTATCATCACTTCCAGATATAAATTAATTAGATTTCTTCATGAAGTTTAATGTACACACACCTTTTGTATGCTCACTTAAAAGTTGAGCCTGTGTCAATATATCTTATTTAAATTCAAATACTTTAATTTCAGTTTTGCATCCAGCTACTACAATTGAACAATCACTATTAGTAGCTATTGCAACGCAAGGTTCTTGTTATTTGATTGAATTTTGGAGTTATTCGTATTAGAATTAGTTTTATATNTAATCTTAATTACCAAACATTCTTCATCATAGGATCCCCTATTACTATGGCCGTCTTATGTAATATTTTTATATTTTAAATCTTTAAAATCGAAATCCCACTTCCCAACCTTTTTTTCTATTTTTAAATAGACCATCAAATAATTCACTCATTATTGCAATATAAAATTATACCTTTGCTTTCATTAATAAATAAATCATTTATAGTTGAGAACAATAAATTTTATCCCAAACCCTTGTTCAAAAATTCCTCGTGGACTTTTTTAAATTCGACCTTTTTGGTTATTTATAATTGTTTAAATTTACCTTTTAATAGATTTTAACTTTGTAAATATTCACAAAGTTCTATTTATTAAAGGCATTACTAAATAAGACCTCGATTAATTTATAATACATAATTTTCTTATATAGATTTTGGAAAATATTAGAATTTCCCAAATATATATATTAATATCAAAAAGCTAATTTTGATATTTATCGAATTCAAAGATTTTTTATAGCATTTATGTAGATGAAATTGATAGATGTAAAATTAAATTAACTCTAGAATATATAGGATTCTATAATTTTATGCAGTAAATATCATTTCTTGAACTAATTATATTAATAAATTACGAAAAAATGATTCATTATCTTTAGTCAGAATTTCAAAATGCATTTAAGGTAAATCTTATAATAGGAATAAAATATCAATACATATAAAGTCATAAGGTAAGATAATAAATGAGTTTTTTATTTTTGATAATATCAAAATTGCTTTTTCACTTTATTTTCTAATATATATAATAACCAAGCTAATTTATGTATTTATAAATATTAGAATAAGCATTATAAGTTAAGAAATTAAGCAGAAATTAAGTGTTTGTTTTCTTATCTTAGGTGATAAATTCAATTCTAGAATCAATTATTTGAATTATAAAACATTGTTATTTGGTACAAGCTTAACTCAAGTTAAATAACGACTTATTCATTTGGTAAATTAAAAGTAATCTTTCAACAAGTGTAAATAACTGGTTGATATAAATTGAGCAACTCTTTAATTACAAGATTGAATAAAAATTTGGTGGTTTGCATTTTATTTGAAAGATAAAATGTTAAAATATCCTTTTTAATCAACTTTGAAGAATTTTGATTATTAAATAATTTATTAATATTTAATTTTTATTCTAAATATGTGTATTGTTTATTCATATTTCATGATATTTTCTGATTTGAATTTCTTTTGAAATATCATCCCATGTCATCAAAAATTATCCGTCATCACTCAAATGTCCAAATAAATAAGCACTTCCAAATTGAATTGATTATTATATGCTAAACTCTTGATTTTCATTTGTCTTTATCAAATTCACATAAATGCCATTCTTATTAACAAGCAGCCATTTTGATTTTATATGCTATTACGGAAACAATGAATAACCATCCTTACTATATTTTACAAGAACATCTTTAGTCTTTAAATACTATTTATTTGTATCATTTATTTCATAAACATGCATTTATTCGCTTGAATCTGGCTAAAATGTAAAAACATTATCATTAATAAAGCATAATCTAGAACCATTAGTTTCAACTTTTATCTTTTAGATTACAATCCATTAAGAATCCTATTATGATTGTTCAATTATTAATATTTATTTATCATATCCACATGAAATCACTTTGTTCTATTGCTAATTCAAACTTAATCCATAGATAGTGCCAGTATGATCTGTTATAGTCTATTAGCATAACCATCCATTCTTGTTCATCCAAAATTTAATAGTTTTATCACAACTTCCTGAAATGATTAAATCTTCATTATTATTTAACACTAAACAATAAATACCTTTTGTATGTTCATTTAATTTTTATTAGCAAACCCATTAATTACTTTGGTTCATGGACCATATTATAATTAAATTATCATCACTTCCAGATATAAATTAATTAGATTTCTTCATGAAGTTTAATGTACACACACCTTTTGTATGCTCACTTAAAAGTTGAGCCTGTGTCAATATATCTTATTTAAATTCAAATACTTTAATTTCAGTTTTGCATCCAGCTACTACAATTGAACAATCACTATTAGTAGCTATTGCAACGCAAGGTTCTTGTTATTTGATTGAATTTTGGAGTTATTCGTATTAGAATTAGTTTTATATTTATTAAGGAGATTGTTGAACAATTAATTCTTTTGCTTATGTTTACTTAAGTTATTCAATTTATAATTAATGAGATTATAATTGTTAATCTTTGATTTTTATCGTCTCATTTAATTGCTGTTTTTGAATCTTCTATTTTTAAAAGCTTTCGTATAATTATTAATACTCAATACTTTAAACCTTTATTTAATTATCAATCGAATTTTTTATTGAAGATGTTACTTAATTAGTCAATTAATTAACAAATTATGAATTATCGATATGTAATAATTACAATCTATGTAATGATTCATTCTATTCAACAACTCTCAACTTTTAACACTTTAGCTTCTTTTAATTCAATGACCTTTCATTATCAACAACTATCTAATCAAGGAAATCATCGATTCTATTGAAAGACAACTAAATGACTTAAATAAAAATTATTTACCTCCATTTCTTATTGAATACCTTTAAAACATTCTTCCATTATAAGATTTTTATTGCTTGAAGCTGAACATTAGAATTTGTGCATATTGTTTCTTAAATACTTTGAATTATTATTTTTTAAATATTTAAACTACAAAGATAACAAGTGCGTTAAATATTTTTAATAATTGTGTATTAATACACTTAAATTGTGATAGATTTATTTTCTTTTTCTTTTTTTTATTAATCAAAGTCACCAAATTTCAATATAAGTAAATTATAATAGTCAAATAATCAAATGAAACAGGAAAAAAACGATATAGATATTATCTGTTGGATATTCAACATTATGGAAAATAAAACATTATATAAAATTAACGAATTGATGTAATTTTCTAATAGATTGTTTTGAAGAATGAATCAAAAATTAACCTAAATACAAGTTTAATGTATTGCACAATTATTTAGGTAAGTTTCCAAAAATATATAACATGTAAAATTTTCTCTTCCTCAAAAAATAAACTTCAGGGTTGATTGAGACTGCTGTAAAATATTTGGAATAAATTTGAATCTACATTTAATTATAATATAAATTTGCTCACCTGAGCAATTAGAATAAGAAATATTGTTTTCAAAACATAATTTTAAAAATTGGAAGTCATATATATACACTTCAAAGATAACTTATATTTTATTCCTTTGTAGTAATTGATATGTTTGGCGTAAACCGCATTTCAGTTGAAAATGAGAATAATTTCACTAAATAATGTTGCTTTATAGTTGTTTTTTTTTATTCTTAAATTTTAATTTCTACTCTCCTTATTTAATAAAATCAAGGTGATGTAGAGTAGATTATTAAATAAGTTCATTAAAATTTCATTAAGTCTGTCTGAAAACTGATATAAAATACTCAATAGGGCATAANATTCAAATACTTTAATTTCAGTTTTGCATCCAGCTACTACAATTGAACAATCACTATTAGTAGCTATTGCAACGCAAGGTTCTTGTTATTTGATTGAATTTTGGACTAATTCGTATTAGAATTAGTTTTATATTTATTAAGGAGATTATTGAACAATTAATTCTTTTGCTTATGTTTACTTAAGTTATTCAATTTATAATTAATGAGATTATAATTGTTAATCTTTGATTTTTATCGTCTCATTTAATTGCTGTTTTTGAATCTTCTATTTTTAAAAGCTTTCGTATAATTATTAATACTCAATACTTTAAACCTTTATTTAATTATCAATCGAATTTTTTATTGAAGATGTTACTTAATTAGTCAATTAATTAACAAATTATGAATTATCGATATGTAATAATTACAATCTATGTAATGATTCATTCTATTCAACAACTCTCAACTTTTAACACTTTAGCTTCTTTTAATTCAATGACCTTTCATTATCAACAACTATCTAATCAAGGAAATCATCGATTCTATTGAAAGACAACTAAATGACTTAAATAAAAATTATTTACCTCCATTTCTTATTGAATACCTTTAAAACATTCTTCCATTATAAGATTTTTATTGCTTGAAGCTGAACATTAGAATTTGTGCATATTGTTTCTTAAATACTTTGAATTATTATTTTTTAAATATTTAAACTACAAAGATAACAAGTGCGTTAAATATTTTTAATAATTGTGTATTAATACACTTAAATTGTGATAGATTTATTTTCTTTTTCTTTTTTTTATTAATCAAAGTCACCAAATTTCAATATAAGTAAATTATAATAGTCAAATAATCAAATGAAACAGGAAAAAAACGATATAGATATTATCTGTTGGATATTCAACATTATGGAAAATAAAACATTATATAAAATTAACGAATTGATGTAATTTTCTAATAGATTGTTTTGAAGAATGAATCAAAAATTAACCTAAATACAAGTTTAATGTATTGCACAATTATTTAGGTAAGTTTCCAAAAATATATAACATGTAAAATTTTCTCTTCCTCAAAAAATAAACTTCAGGGTTGATTGAGACTGCTGTAAAATATTTGGAATAAATTTGAATCTACATTTAATTATAATATAAATTTGCTCACCTGAGCAATTAGAATAAGAAATATTGTTTTCAAAACATAATTTTAAAAATTGGAAGTCATATATATACACTTCAAAGATAACTTATATTTTATTCCTTTGTAGTAATTGATATGTTTGGCGTAAACCGCATTTCAGTTGAAAATGAGAATAATTTCACTAAATAATGTTGCTTTATAGTTGTTTTTTTTTATTCTTAAATTTTAATTTCTACTCTCCTTATTTAATAAAATCAAGGTGATGTAGAGTAGATTATTAAATAAGTTCATTAAAATTTCATTAAGTCTGTCTGAAAACTGATATAAAATACTCAATAGGGCATAATAATCAAAAATACAATTTACATTAATTTAAACTAGCTAGAATTTGACACCTCACTAAATTTAATTGGGCTAATGCTAATTTTGAGAAAGTAGAAACAGAGATTTGGAGTAGTATATATCTTCTAAAATTTAAAACTAGAGATAATGAATTATAACAATCAAAACGTCCTTATCTTAATGGCAATAGTTCTCATTGGCGCTTTGACTGATTATAATAGAAAAGCTTGTATTTAAAAAGTTGACATCAAAGACTTGATAGAAAAATTCATTCAGAAGACATATTATGAGTAATTTTATATATATAAAATCAAAATTATATCTGAAATTTATAATTGATTTCATAATTCAAAGCAGATTAATTATTCCAGATTCATTAAAAATTCAGTATGTTTTTATGAATAGAATGTTTTATAATATATTTATAATCTAAAAGCTACTATAGCAATAAAATTAAATTATTTCCCAAAAAATTAGTTTTTGGTTTAAATTTAATTATCTTTTTCAATTTAATGCGAATGCCTCATATTAAATATATTTATCAAAAATTTAGAGTGATTTAGAGATAATTTATGAGGATGTAAAAGAGCCGAGTATTCATATTTTTGGTATATCAGCCTAAATAAACAGGGACCAAAATCTAAAAATTGATATATAACATAATTACATAAGTGTAATATTTAATTCGCAAATATTTTATAAATAAAAATTTAGGAGATTTCCTTATTTTAACAATATTTCAGCCTTTTTAAAACTTTAAAATATATCAATAATAGAAAATTCTATTGAAAGGGCATTATAATTTGCTTTATTCTATGTATAAACACCAAATAAATCCATTGTTGCCATCAAGTGGATGAGTTATTTTTTAATTGGATAGGGAATCTAAATAATTATTAACAATGATTTAGGAATGTAAATTAAGGAGCAACATGTCATCATATTTTCAGATGAGTCTTTAAACTAGAATTTCAAGTCCATTTTGAAATGAAGCTTTATAGGTACTTATGTCACTGTAAATATAGTAAAATAAAAAGATTATTAATTTCCTAAATACAAGTGCAATATAAATATTTAAAAATTATTGGAAATCCCCAAACAGAATTAATATTACCTTCTTAAAATAATTAAGAAATTCAAATTCAACCTTTGTATGAATATTTTCCTGTTTTTATTAAATAATTAATGAAGATGATTTATTCCACCGTATAAAAAATTAATTTTTCTCATCCCTTTTGTAATTAAATCTTAAAATCCTTTGAAAGTCATTATATTTTACTATAACAGATAAATTTTAGGTATAAGTATTTCTTCTCACTTAGAAAAGACAATACTGTTATTTTTTTATAATATACGTTTTTAAATTAGTGAACGCGTTTTACGCATCGACAACGCTTACTCAATATTTTATTTATATGTATATTCATAATAAATAAGATAAATGAACAAAAAATTCTTAAATAAATTAAAATTTATTGATTATAAAATTCTCATTTTTCTATTCAAACTATGCTTTAATTGTAAGTCTATAAAAAATGATTTCTTTAATGCTTAGATATTTCTGACAATTTCCATATCATATTGACAGAAATTTTAAGGTATATAGGGCGATTATAAAAATCTACTCAGGTCTTACTCAGTTTATGAATCCAGGAACAAATGTAAACATGTCAAGACTATAATATTTGATGAATTGAATCATTGTATTTAAGTAATTGATAGATAAATAAGGGGAAACGTCTTGAAAATCAAGTACTAAATTCTGTACATTTTGTGAATGGATCATAAAAGCTATAGTTGAGGATAATATTCTTTTCATATCAATTCTCTCTTCCAAAGCTACTTTTATACTGTCAAATATAAATTATTTCAATTTATCTAATGTCATTTCTAAGAAATATATCATACTTAATGAAATGTAAATGCAAAAGTAAGGATATTTATAAATATAAAAATAATGGTAATCATCTGAGAAAAACTCTAGATAATATTATAGAATGCAATTCAACACAGTAATAACTTCCAGGCTCAAACCATATGTGAACTCCACATATAGTATTGAGGTAAAGAGCGAACCTTACCCTAGAATGAAGATGTTAAATAAATTTGACAGTACAGAGGCATAAACTGCCTAAATAATCAACAAATCACAGGGAGGAGCGTTAACGAAAATAATATCAAAGATCTTTCTAGCCTTGAGTTTTTATGGTCTAATTCTATAGTTCAGCCCACCAAGATTTGACACCTTGATTATCACGTTTTTAAATTACTACTCTCCCTAAAATAGTTTCTAAACTATCTATCCAGACTTAATTTTATTTATTATTTTCTATAGCTAAAAGTCTCATCTCCTCTTATTAGAAGTTAAGTAATTAAATAATTATTCCTCATTATATTTAATAAAGGTTCATATCTTTCTTATTAGACCTAGGTATATTATTTGATAGGTCTATAGAAGATCCTGTTTGAGGATATTCATATTCTTATCCTACATATTGCACTTCACGTGGTTTACAATTAACATTTCCCTTCCTTAAAAGTTATTTAGGAATGAATATTGTCTATCAACAATAAATTATCTATCTTATTCGGATAGTTAAATTCTATTTTTTATTTCCTGAACCTCCTTTTATTCTTTTATTCTTCTAATCATTATATCATATTCTCTTTAGCTAGAATCATCTACTTTAATTTTTAGATTTGTCTGTCCTAATCCTCATTCCGTATATAATTCATGAGATCTTTGATTTAGAATTCTCTTCCAATATTTTTAAATAATCCTTAAGTTTATTCAGTTATTTAAATCAACTTTAGATTACGAGCAGTGTTCGGAGTATTTTAAGCGATTGTTTATGTCTACAACAAATTTTATTTAAATCTGGTGAATTCACCAACCCTTATTTCTTGATTTTTTCTAATATAAACGTTCATGGTTCTCTATTTCCATATTTGTATTTGAAATAAATGCCGTTTTTTTTAAGTCTCTTTTTTTTCTTTTTCACTTTAAAACCTTTCATAGGTTCCAATTTCTCTATAAGCATATTCTCTAACGTGTTCATAAAATCACCTTCTAATTATTATAATTGACAAAATTTTATATTTACTTTTTCCTCCAGCTCACCTGATTCAGATGTAGTCTCTAAGTCAATCTCATCGGTCTCTTTCAGTTAATCAATGAATTCTCTCTAGATAGTTAATTACTTTTTCAGAGAATGAATTTATAAAAAACTAGAATCTTTGTTGCAACACTCTTCATCAGGACTCTTAGTTATAAGCCTGTGATTTGAAAAAATTTACATTCTAAAATAGAGAGTAATAAAGTAGCTATGAATGAGCAAGGTCTGGAATCAAGAATTTAGACGACTGTTAGTAGGATGGAAAGAAAATATGGATGCTAAGCATAAAATCTACCCTAAGTAAACTCGTGATATAAATTATGATCGTTATTTAGAACGGACTAAGCATAACAAATAGATTAATTTAAAGAATTCCTAGAGAAATGAGGGATGTCCTTAATCTTTAACAATTTAATTTTAAATTAAAACTCTATTTATATGAGATATCATGAATTTTCTGGTCTTAATTCAGTTTACAATATTATTAGAGTTAATCTCTATGTAACTATTTGTTTTACATAAGTTTAAAACAAATTACAATTAAATATAATATCATATAAAATTCAATGCAAACAGTTTCAGAATAATCCTTAAGAAAATGTAATAAGATTGATAACGAACTTGATGAGATTGTTAATGATAAGTCTAATTAGTTTAATATGATAGAATCTTAAATACAATATGACTTATCAAAAATGAATTCCAATTATTTAATTAAATAGGACGATGACAATTCAGCGAACTCGGACTGTTAACAACTCGATACCTTAATCTAAAATAATATTTCAAATTAATAGAAGGATTAACAAATTTAATAACTTATCAATTCTTAAACCATCTAAGAAGCATCAACTAATCCTAAACCATTCACTTATGAATTGATACCAAAAAATTCAATTAAATAAAATGAACATTGTCATGCAATTGCTGTTAATAAAGATTATTCAACATTAATTGCTGCATGTGATAAATAAATCAAAGTGTTTGGATTTAAATAAGGAAAGTTGATTTAACATGAAATATTAAATGAACATAATAGATATGTTTATACTTTGAATTTTATGAATAGA